ACATTTTCAAAAAACAATATTTAAAACCAATAAACATTTCGTGCATATATACACAATAACATATATTTTCAAAGACATTAAAGTTTATTAGATTGAATTGATTTAATATTTTTCTTGTAATATGTAAATTACAATATATTCTAAATAAAATAAGTATTTGTTACGATCATAAAAGTGAAATTAATATTTATTAAATAAAAATCTGTCGTGATTTACAAGACGCGTACCACTTACATGATTACTTAGAGAAAGCAAATAAAATTTTAAACATGGTATGGCGACACGGATTTCGTTGGCAATTGAATTGCACATGTATTAATGAGAAATAAGTGATTTCTAAATTCTCATAGTAAAACATGCATTGCAATAAGTGGAGTTTATACTTTCACTTACATTTACAAAAGATTTGATGCATTACAAAAACGCCTGTCACTAGGTTCATTGCGAGAGAAAGCCAAAAGATCATTTCTGAATGTGAAAACTAAATATTTCAATTAAATTTAGTAAATTAATGTTTAAATAACTACAATTACAAGGTTTCGTTCCATGGTAATAAAATGTACCTTGAAATTGACTGAAAGTTTACGCGGATCTTGTGCAATCTAATATTAATGAATTATTTTATAAAATAAAAGATTGAATGCATTAAAATTATTGTATACATCTTGTAAATATACATATTATATATCGCTAAATAAATTGATTGATCTATAATAATTAGATTGATAAAATAATAATAAAAACAATATTACAGGGTTGAGCACAATAGATCCAAGCAAAAATTTATACTAGAATATTTTACTAGCTCATTATAATTTCGAATTATAATTTCGATAATTTGTGAAAGTAAAAATATTAAATATAGTTAAAAATTCAAAAGTAAATAGACACAAAAGGTTTATTTTTATATAATTATAAAGATTTTATAAATTTAAAGAAAATCTTGGTTCAGTTAGCTGCTATATAATAAAATTAAGGTAAGGAAGGTCTCACAGGTCCATTTTCACATTGAACAATTATATTGTGAAAATCAAACCAATTATATTACAACAAATAACATATCTCAAACAAACAACTATCTGACTAATAAACTAATAAACGTCAGAAATATTTATCAGCAGAGTTGAAGTAACTGTTTATTTAATTTATTTAATATATTCAAATAAGCTTAATTTAACTTAATATACTTTTATGTTCGCTATTTGCTATTTTTTACACCTTTGCCAAGGTAAAGCTTCATTTCGTCTCATTTTACCCCACCCACGTGTAAGCTTATATGAAAAAACTGTACAATCTAACTTAAAATTAACATTAAACTAAACAACAGTTTCACAAACAAAAAACTATCGACGAAAGAAAACACTTTTGTTATGGATTTTCAAACATTACTGTTTTTCTCTTATAGGAATCAAGGTGATGGCTGGTTATACATTTTCTACCCTTTTTACAAATATTGTTGTTAAAAAATTCTTAACTTTACTGGTCTTTAATACATCGGTGGTACACTTTTTACACGTGGACCTTGAAGCCCCGCCCTACCCTATTATATTGGTGTATATCAACAACATTGTAAAACCGTGTGTAAACTTGATGAAGTGATTTTTAACAAAAAACGTATGTTATATTGTTAAATACTATATAGTACAGTAAAACCTCATTAAGGAAATCATCGTTAACACGATTTTTCGCATAATACTCCACTTTACACAGATCTCTTTACTTTGAAACAATTTTCTCTATTTCGCATAATGCGCTTTCATGGTTCCCGGAAAATCATCTTAACGGGGTTTTATCAATTTATAAAATAATCAATAAATTCCGACCAATTTTTTCTAGATAAATAAATAAGAGTTTACAAATTAACTTACAATCAAGTAATGTAGCAACCGATAATTGCAGGATCTCCAATCTCGACCATTGGTTTTCTATGGTAGCACGTTTTTATAGACACCATCGACAGTGACGATAATGTCATATATTACTGCACATTTTATTTGTATGCCATTATTATTGTATTCCATATCCGGCCATCATATTTATATTTAGATGCACAACCGATTCATCAACTAGATTTTGCAATTATCTACATCCGTTTAGTTTATTGCTCCGATAGTTATACCCCAATACGCTTGTCAAATATTTTATTGCCGGATATTCATCGAAATGATTTCGAACACTTCGTATTTGTACAGTAAACATGCATATGTTTTACGATTTCGCAGAAATAAATACAGCGAGCTCAACTATAGTACTGTGTTAATAATAATTCAGAGCAATTCAAAGTCAACTAGAAACAAAAGGTAATAAAATCGAATGATTTGTTTGTATTAATCAGCAATTACGTCGAGCTAAAAATGAAAATGAAATATGATTTGTAAATACTAATAATAAACTGTTTTATTTAAATACATTATGCAACCAATAAAACTTTCAAACTTAATAATATTATGAATTTCACGTTGGTTAATAAAATTCTTGAAACGGTTTTAAGTATAAATAGTTTGTATATATAATATATAATAATATTAATAATATTAATAATATTAATTTTTCACGTATAGGGTGAAGCGGGACTTAAGGTCTGCGGGTAAAAAAGTCCACCACCAATATCTCAAAAACAAGTAAAGTTAAGAAGTTTTTAACAAGAGTATCTGAAAATAGAGGGAAAAGGATGTATAATCAGTCATCACCTTGAATCTGTTGCTATTAGGAGATAAACGACAATGTTTGAAAATTTATAACAAACGTTTATAATAAACAAAAAATTTGTTTGAAAATAAAAAAAAAAATTATAATAGACGTTTATTTTCTTTCGTTGTTAGTTTTTTTGGTTGTGAGCATTGTTGTTTAATCAACGAGACCTTGATATAATTTTTAAGTATACGTTATTTAATTGTTTCATTGGATGTATTATTAATTTTAATAACTTCGATTCAAAAGTTTTTTATATTACCTATATAAAAGCTTATCCGTGGGTGGGGTAAAAAGAACCAACGGAATCTTTGTCCTGCTGAAGGCGCGTGAAGCATAAAAATAGTAAATAAAAATGTATACTTAATATTTGTAAACGGAAATTATAATATTTAACAACCTATAGCGATCAAAACATCTTTACAATAAAGAACGAATTATAAAAAAAATCCTTCCAAAATATCGACAATAGCTGCATCATTTATATGAATATTTATCGTTAATATTTTAATGAGCTAAAGACTCACAAAGACTAAAGTAGAACACATGTTATTATAGTCTATAGATTTTGTATGAACACACGTGCATCGCCACATAAAAACATCACAAAGGAACATATATATGAGCGCTCAATATATATATAATATTTATTGCAGGTACAAAGAAAACTGAAGAGAATAAACTGCGAATAACAATATAGACCACATATAGAAATGAGTTTTTTTACTGGTACAGTGTATAGAATATAGCATTTAATAAAGTACAGCCAAGCACACAAAGACTGAATGACAGATTTGTTCCATGTATTGCTTAAATCGACAATGAGCAACGCAAATGAATGCATAACTTGCAAAACAATTTTATAGACTCGCAAAATACCTACAGGTGTTTACAGATAGACATATATATGTAAATAATTATATGTACTGTTAAAATCTACATTATATTATATTGAACATGAAAAGATGATTTTATTTTTAAAAAACTTACGTTCTGATCGCTGTTCAAACAAAAAAAGTCTTGCAACTTTAATAGATAGAGAATATAGATTCACATAAGGGCGCTTTCCATATTGTAATATTCCGATTTGAAAATTTCGCTTAACGGTATGGTTATCATCATAATAAATATTAAAATTGTTCACTGTATCTCTATATTATGTTTACTGTAATGAAAACAATTTTTACTTGAAAATATAGATGGCAATATGTTTCCAAGTGAAAATAGCCCTCACAGCTGATTAAAGGATTACCCAATGGGTTACCATTTAAAAAAATACCAAGTAAGGAGAAGTTTCAGCCCAACAGCTTATAAGACGTAAGATTTTGACTTCTCTGAATATATGAGAATTAAAAAAAATATTTACTGTATCTCTATATAATATTGAATAACTATATATATGACTATATTGAATATCTATATAATATTTTTTGAACCCTAAGCAAATATGCTGATATTTGTATAAAATTTGATCACATAAAATTATAGTACTTATAACAGTAAGCTTGACTATTATTCTTTATTAAGATTATAATATATCTTTATGCTCAGAAACAGCCCAATAAAACATGTAATTAAGGATTCAAGTACCATGAAACCTTAATTATTTAAAGTGTAATGTAAAAAGTTATGTAACCGAATAAATATAAGCATTTTACTTTATTACTACATTAATGCCATACTGTACTCCGAGTATATTAATAATTCTTTTCTACTTTATGGTAATGTATGCGATTTAACTAATTAGTAAGCTATGTCAATATTCAGCACCGCAGTATTCGCAGCATTATTACTTACATATAAAGATTTGACATAAAAAACTAATCATGCGAATAAGAAAAATGAACAGAAACTAATAAATTAGATGAAATACCATTCTACCAGTTAAAAAATTTAGCAATTACACAATCTGCATCTTGCATAGCATTGATGCAGGTTGTGTTGCTTTTTCTTTTGATATGATATGAAATAGAAGTTTGTTTATAAATTAAATCACGCGCGCAATTTGCAACCGGAATTCAATTGCTGAAGCATAATTACGAGAGGAAGGCATTTCCGCCTGACGTAGACACCCCATTAAAATAATTATATAATAACTATTTCTACACCTATAGCAATTCTAGCAGTATGAAGTGTATGTAAAGAAAAAATATATAATAGTCGTTTTCTACTACAATTCTGTGATTGGATCTCTGACAGCATAATAACTTCCCAGAGAATGTTAATAAAAGTTAGAAAAGATAAAACAAAATTAAAGAAAATCGTGTAAATATCACGGTTAATTGCTGATTATTATATATTTAACTTACCCTTGTTTGCTGCCATCATATCGGAAGGCGACTTGCGCTTATGAAGGCAAACACTAGCTCGTGACGTCAAAGTGCTTGGCCAAGGTATGCTTGGCGTCTGAAAAATGATAAAATTTATTATAATATGTTTAAAGGATAACATCAAGAAATTTATAAAAATATCACATTGATATATATATATATATATATATATATAATATATATATATATACTTTAAACCAGTGTTTCCCAAGCGGTCATGGGTCACGCCCCACCTTAACGTTTCTAAAAATGTTACGGCCCTCATATAAACTTTTTGATCTAAAAATGAATGAGTAGAATTATAAAAAATAAACCTTTAGAAATGACTATTAAATTGTGATCAAAACTTTATAAGAAAAACATGTTATAGAAATTGAAATTTTCTACATTCAATCAAGTCAATTTCTTTTTTTTAACTATTAGAAGAAGAGGTTTGTTGCACCAGAAACTATGATCCGCTAATTTTATGATGGATATTTTTGGGACTTTTCCTAGAAATTTTCTCAAAATAGACTGCACCGATTTCAGAAGTTTAAAAGGCATTCGATATATTTCGATAAGAACTCACGTTGATTACAAATAAACTAAATACAGCTAGTCTATTCATTAAATTGTGCAAGTATAAGGGCATAAAAAGGCCATTGAGTTCATAATTTATATCCATTAATAACATTAAATATATCTATTTTGATATTAGTTGTTACTTTTTTCTTCTATGGGAATATTCATCTTGCTATTAAATAACTAAAATATCGAAAATACCTACAATTAAATTCAAATAACCCAAAGCGAATGGGTTAAATTCGTATCATTTTTTAATTTGCCCCGACGTTTGGAATAACTGCTTTATACTGTTTTTATCAAACAGCATTTCCAATACATTAATATGCAAAAATTAAACCTGACAGAACAATTGAAAATATATAATAGAATACAATATTTTTTTTATTGTTGGTCTCAATTGTAAAAAACTTGTCAATACCGATATATCAAAACATGTCGCGACAAATATTCTAAACAAATGAGTTTCTGATATAAAATGATATTAATAAAAACGATATTTTATTCGGACATTTATTACAATACGCCAGATTGCACTTGATATCAAGTCGTAAATTGTTATAATGATTTGTATGGTGTTTATACCCGACTCGGATGCAATTTGCAAAAGTCTTAGAAATGGAAATACAAGAGTACAAACATAACACACGATCAATCTCGCCATTTATTTTCTCGATTTTATTGCCTACGCAAAGATATTTCATGGACTTTATGAAACAAGTGTAAGAAACACTGTTTACGATTCTTAAAGACGTAATCGAATAAAATAATAACAGCACGAAGACATAAAGACTTGGTAAAACATTCAGACATTTGCAAGTACAAGAGACCGGGAAAAATAGATTGATTCTCGATTATCACTAACTTTTACTTTATTATATTTTTTAAGCACAGCTCTTGGCTGATTAACCTAGAGCTTAAGGGGGTATTCTACTGTAGAGTCATGAATTTCGCCCGGTTTTTGAAGCGCTGTATAAAGAAAACAAATAATATTTTTATTATCGATTTTTTTATCATTTGTTTATTGATATTTTATTATTATATAAAAAAATTATTAAAAAAAAATAATTAAAATTCACAAAGTTATGAGCCGTCGAAGTGGGGGTTCCCAAAAAAAGAGGGTGTCCTGGCGTACATGATTCCAACCCTCCTGGTGATTTGAAACATAAAAAATAGATGGATTCTTAATTATAATAGATGTCGCTATCGTATGAACCTTGGATAAGCTGAAAAAAAAATTTTTGTTCGAATGGCGGCAGTTTGAAAAAAAAAATTAGTTTTTTTCATGTTTTTTTAACAATTCCAAAATTTTTAAAAATACTAAATGAAAAGTTATAGTTTTGGACAAGGTCCATACGATAAAGCGATGTATAGAGAAGATCCTCTCCAAATTTGAAGTAAATCGGTTCATTAGAACTCGAGATATCCTTACCGCCAGCTCGAAAAAAGTAGTTCCGAGAAAAACGCGTTCAAAGTTTTGAGACAAGTCGGACCCGAACCGAGGCCACGTCACTAAAACGGCTATAACTCAGGAAATAATAATAATTTTGAAAAATTCTTTCAATGACATATTTTTGAATAACTAAACTTTGAAAATATGAAAAAAAAAATTTTTCGATTTTTTCAAAATTCTACAGTAGAATACCCCCTTAAACAAAGTAAAAGTTCTTCTACTTTTTTGTTAATATCAAAATAGCATTATTGGCAATTTTTATCATTGAATAATGTATTCAACTAGTTATTAATTAAATTTAATATTTCTTAAGAAGTCTTTAATGTTTCTTAAGAAATATCTTTTTAGTTATTCTGCGTATATGCTACATAAAACAGACATGATATTTCATTAAAACCAAAATATCATTAACAATAGATTTTAGCTCTTGTCTGAAACCAAACAGTTTGTAAATCCAAATATATTTGTGAAACCACACATAAAGCACGTAAACTAATCACGTCAAATTGTTGAAATAAATTTTTACACACAATTTTTTATAATTATATAAATCAATAAATAGCTTATATTCAAATTCATACTATAGAGAATCATGGGATAAATGAAAATTTAAACATTCATCCCCGGTCTCCAGTGCTCTTCACAAATGCGAAATGCAAACGACCTGTTCTATGAATATCTCAAGTTACGAATATTATCAGAATAGCATTGGTACGAGTGTATTAAGACGATTATTATTATCATTATTATTATTGTTATTGCTACCTATAACATTGCCTCGTTAAGGTCAATGACAGCTGTTTCTCTAAAGATTAGGCCACATAACTATGTGCAACTTCTACTGTGCTTCAAAAATTGAACCAAAATAAAATCACTCATAATGAAGTTGTAAATAAAGTGATATTTACCGAGAATGCAAATGAATCTTTATTACCTTGCATTTTAATGCGAAACGCTATCAAAAAGCACTTATAAGAATTTTATGATCATTTTGTTAGAATTTAAATAAGCTTCGGTTATTAAGCATTTGAGGATCATAAAAGATTGAAGAATAACAGGAAAAATGCGAATGGATCATTAATGGATCATAACATTGTAAACCAACGCAAAATTGCCGGGAGCTATTAACACGTTTGAAACACAGAATATAATTTGTAACTGCATGCAACTTGTTATGCAGAGTCTCCAAATAATAAGTTAAAGTTGATTATAAAGATCAACTCAAAAAGTGATTGGAGTGAAATTGAATTACAGTTTTAGAAAAATATATCGATTAACAAAATTCAAATGTTTATTTTATACATTTTCTCACAAAATAATTTAATATTGGGCCTATTTCTAATCATTTATAGGAGATTAACAAACATTTCCAGTTGGATATTCCGAAAAACTTTATCGCAGAATATTGTATGAATGTGAAATTCATGACTATGATTGATAAAAACCCTTATGAGCTAATTCTGCCGTAAAATAGTCCAATGTTATGGCAAGGCTATGTTATATATATTTAGAAAAAATAATTTAATAAATCAACATTTAAAAAAAGGCTATGTTGCATATGTTTAGAAAAAATAATTTAATAAATCAACATTTAAAAAACATGGACAAAATGGACAAAAAACATGGACAAAAGTTTTACAATTTTTTTTACAAAACTGAGAAACGATAATCCTCATCGATATACATAAAATTACTTTTAAATTTTTTATATCGGTTCAAGCGTTTCTTGACAAACGCCAAAAACGCGATTAATTTTTTCAAACTTTGACGAATTTTAAAAGTTAAACGACTTATCGTAATCCCGTACTATTTTAGTATGATCTAGAAGACCATGATAACTATCGCCAAAAAAATTGCATAAAAATTTTTCAACAATTAATTACAAGAACACGTGCCAGCAAATCTTTCTTTAACAAAAACTAATCAGGTTGATTCCCACCAATATCTTTCGAACGGTTTTTTAATTTTATAAATCGTTAAAACGTAGACGAAAATTTTTACAAAGAAACGGCTCGGACGATCGTTGCGCAAAACTGATAAAAGCTAGTCGTCATCAAGACACATCGAATAGCTTTTAAATTCTTGAAATCGGTCCAGTCGTTTTTGAGAAAACGTCGATTTACAGTTAAAAATCTGTTCATATACACACATACTTTTTCCAAATAGTAGTCTCATTCGATTCAAAATGGCTTGAAACGTCGAGAAAACATAAAATTAGCGAATCAAATTTTTTTATGAATACATAAATATCTCCTTCGGGAAGTTAATGAACCAACATTTACTTGTAAACACTATTATTTCAACGAAAAAAAAGTATTTTAATTTATGTTAGTATTAGTGTAAAGTAAAAATCATTAATTTATAATATCATAAAGCATAAGTTTTATTATTGATCGACCAACCCCGGTAGAACAATTTAGCGCCTTAGGTCGCACAAATCAAATGCTGATCAAAGAAGTTGCAACTGAACCGAGAACAAGGAATGCGAGAATGATCTCTCTTGCACTGGGAGGAACTAAGCCTCGCTGGTTCAACCGCATCTCACCGCATTGCGATAACCAGCATATACTTATCCCGCGAGCAATATATCATATCATGTGCATTTAAGTCCATAGACAAACCAAGTTATCCGAGAATTAGACTTAGAAGTTTCTCAAAATTTTATAAAATCATATTACTAACTAGATATAGGTAAAGTTTTATAAGCAAGAGTTCCGGTTGATACCTCAGGTGACGATGATAAAGAGATCATTTATTACACAGGCCAACAAAGAAAATGGTGCAAACGATTTTTATGCTATATTTGGGGCGCTGATTTCAAAAATGACATTGTTATTTTTCTATGAGCTTTAGTTTTCAAGATATGATATATAATGATATATAAGGAATGAAAGTACAAAATAGTAATACTATTCAGAATGTGATATGCCTATTTAATGAGATATGCCTACTCGTACATACAAACTTACACGACCCATTCGGCCTTAGTTGGAACATTAGTTGACACTGTGAAAAGTTCTTTTCCGTGACGACCTAGAATGGACCTGGTTTCGGCAACTTTT